TCAATTTCGAAGTGCCATCAATCGATGGACTTAATTGCGACCTCACGCGTTCGTCCGTACTACGCCTGCACCGCAGTTATAAAATGACAATAATGACATGTCAAGCAAACTGGTTCGGAGCAGCATGGAGCGGGGATCTGAGGTTGCAGCGGGAGAAGTTGAACATGCCCATGACCTTGTCCAGTGCAGGCATTTCATTTGTGAAGGTTTGCCAGAGTCATGCACCTCGGTCCTTTCATCGCCCTTCCCGCCAGGAATCATGTCGGCGATTCCAGGAACGAAAGAAAAGCGAGACATACAGGCAAGACATCCCACGAGACATACATCCACGTGAAGTCCACAAGTACACCGGATCGCGATGATCGTTCTCCTCTGGATGTGGTTATTGGATCGCTTAGGAGGAATTATGATCAGGTGAATGGCCGTTGCAAAGGCCCAAGCCATTCTGGCCCTGCCGGCAAAAGGAAATAAGGCATTCCCGTCGATCTAGAGCAGCTATCCCCGCATGCACGGTCGGGGGATTAAAACAAGGTTTAGCCCCTCCCGCGACGAGAAAAGACACAAGAGCCAGTCGGGTAGGCTCGGTGAATCTGCCGCTTCCCCGCATCATGAACGGCCAGGAGGGACAAGACTCTTGGCTGGAGTACTGCCGTTCTCTGTGGAGATGCCCGATGACCTACATGGAAGCGAAATGGAGGCAAGGAAGGATGGGGGAAGGATTCTTTGAACCTTGACAGTCTATGTTGCTTTTTCAATCCGGCGGTGACAGTTGGCGTTGTCAAAAAACCGGGCGCGTGTAGCGTTACGGTTCACCCTAGCCAAAAGACCTGTCGATCATTCCTTCATCCCAACAGCGCATCATAATTAAGGCCCAGATATTTCTGTCTGTGGCTGCGCCCTGTTAATATTGGCCGGGAACCTTTTAGGTAATGGGAAAAGGGACCGCCCCAGCACGAAGCCGCGAACTCAAGACGGTCAACACTTGCCGCCTCTCAGTTCCCCTTTCCGCCAAGGTCGCAGCCAGATGTCAGCCCGACTATCCCAAGCTTACGGGCTTTTTCTCGTAGAACAGACATATCGGCCTGGGTCGGGTGGCCTACCATTCACAACCCCCTCTCTCCCAGATGACCGCATCATGCAGCTCCCTTGTGCGTCCATCGAACGACTCCACGTGCTGCTTGGTTGCAACGAGTGATATCGCACGAAGAAGCGGAAGAGTGCTTGGTGCTTATTTAGATGTCCGTTACTCACATGCAATCCACCAATCTGCGCGACCAACACGGCGTCGTAGCACTAAGGCAGGCCGCTTTTTCCCCTCCTCATCCTCCCCCTCCATTCTCCACGGCCAAGACATGGGAAAGTGAACAATGGCGACCGCCAATTTTCTCTTGTGCGGGGAACCCGCAGCCTGCAGCATCGGCTGGCGGTCGAGCACGCAACATTACATGGCACGTCACTACACCACAGTCAACCAGACCCCGGCAGAGGAGCAGAGGAAGGACGAGGAGGAACGGAACTTTGGAAACGTTTGCCTCGTTTCTCACAGTCAGACGCCAATCCAGCTTGACTCAATGCCGAGATGTCCGGCCAAGTCGAGTGTGGGGAATTTGATGTGCAGAGGCTATGCGACCTGCCGCACCTTTGTAAAACGGGCTTCCCCTGGAACAAATATAAGTCAGTTGAACGTCAACGCTCGTCCCGACATTGGGAAAAAGTTAAAAATATTAGGATTTCTCCGCGCAGGTATAGAAGGAGCTTCCCCCTTTACGCTGGGACCCCTCTTGTTCACTGCTGCTGCTGCATCTTGCTTTCGTTCTTTTTTACCTTTCTTCCTCCAGCTGTGCTCTTCCTCCTCCTCCTCGAACGGCTTTTTGGGACCGAGACCTGCAGCAACCTGCGACCTCATCCTTCGGTCGTGCCAAAATGCATCTCTCACGGACAATCCTCTCGTCCGCGTTGGCGGCGCTGACCCTCTCAGTCACCACCAACGCACAGTCTGACACGCCCGCGGAGCCCTACAAGCTGCAGACGCCACCCCTAGACACGGACTGGACGAGCCAGGTCGGAACGAGCCCGTGGCCGGATCACCCGCGCCCGCAGCTTCGCCGCGACAAGTGGCTCAACCTGAACGGAATCTGGACCTACCAGGCCGCGGCCGGGGCCGCCGATGTCAACCACCCGCCGTCGGGCAGCATTCTCGACCGGGAGGTGTTGATCCCATCATGCATTGAGAGCGCCATCTCCGGTATCCAGGAGCTCGACGTCACGCACATGTGGTTTGCGACAAAGTTCAGTGTTCCCAACAACTGGGGCAACCAGTCTGTCCTGCTCAACTTCGAGGCCGTTGACTACGAGGCGACCGTGTTCATCAATGGCCAAAGGGTCGGTTTCCACCGTGGAGGATACTTCCGCTACACGGTTGATGCGACGCAGTACATCAACCAAGGCGAAGAAAACACCTTGTCAGTGCCAATGGCTTCTTTGTGTGGCCCAGTTCATTGCTAACACATGGTGTGAAGGTTGGTGTTCGTCCATGACCCGACAGACATGGATGGCTACGTTATTCCGATTGGCAAGCAGACTAGAACCCCGTCGCATATCTTTTACCGAGCCTGCTCCGGCATTTGGCAGACTGTCTGGTTGGAGAGCGCGCCTGTCAACCACATCACGAAGCTGGATCTCGCTGCCGACCACAATGGCAATGGTGAGTAACACCCAAAGCACAAGTCAAAATGTGACATTGCTGACCACTCGCTCAGTGACTGTTACTGTCCACAGCTCTTCCAGCTCATCTTCTGAGGTTCAGATTGCCGTTCTGGACAAGGATGGAAACACCATTGGAGAGGGAACAGGCGGTTCCGACGAGGAGTTCACCTTCCAAGTGTCTCAGCCAAAGGTCTGGTCGCCATCGACCCCCCACTTGTACAACCTGACCGTCAGGCTGGGTGAGAGCGACGTGGTACACAGCTACACTGGATTCCGAACCATTTCAACTGGTATCGTTGAGGGCATCAAACGACCCCTTTTGAATGGCGAGTTCATCTTCATGTTCGGCACCCTCGACCAAGGATACTGGCCTGATGGACTCCACACGCCCCCTACCTATGAGGCCATGGTCTATGACCTGAAGGTGTTGAAGAACCTCGGCATGAACATGGTTCGCAAGCATGTGAGTAGAGCCCTGCCAAACCTCAGTGACCTCGGTGACCAATGCTAACAATCCGTAGATCAAGATTGAGCCGGATCTGTTCTACCGCGCCTGCGACGAGATCGGCCTGCTCGTCATCCAGGACATGCCGAGCTTGACTGCCAACTCTGCGCGTCTGCCCAACGCTGAGCAGCAAGCCGAGTTTGAGCGCCAGCTGCAGCTTATGATTGAGGAGCACAAGAGCTACACCAGCATTGTCACCTGGGTGCGTCCGGTCGCTTCGTCTAAACCCTCCCCTCACTAACATATTAACGCAGACCATCTACAATGAGGGCTGGGGCCAGCTTAGGAACGCTCCTCACCCCGAGGACAAGCTTACCGAAATTGTTCGTGACATTGACCCCACCAGACTGATCAACGCCAACAGCGGTTGGTATGACCACGGCTTCGGTGACTTCTCGGACAACCACCACTACGCCAACCCTCAATGCGGAACTCCTTTCTACTCGTTGGCTTCGTCCCCGTATGATAAGTCACGCATCGGGTTCCAGGGAGAGTTCGGCGGAATCGGTCACAACGTTTCCATTGAGCAGTATTTCTCCCCTCGAATAAGTCCAAGGATTCCATGCTAACAATGCGCGCAGTCTCTGGAACGTCCAACAGGCGATCGACACCATCAACGGCACGTACGAGATCAACGAGAGCCTCGAGGCATACAACTACCGCGCGCGCGTCCTCTTCCGGGAGTTCCGCGAGCAGGTCGAGATGTTCGCCTGCAGCGGCGGCGTCTGGACCCAGACCAGCGACGTCGAGGGTGAAGTTAACGGCCTGGTCACCTACGACCGCCGCGTCCTCCGCCCCGACCTCGCGCAGTGGCAGGTGGACATCCAAGGCCTCTTCGACGCCGCCAACGCCCGCAAGGGCGCCGTCAACGGCACCATGTAAGGAACAGAACCATGCACAGTTGATCCGATTCCGACACATGCACACACACTTTCTATCTTTCATTGGTTTGGGAACAGTAATGCTAAGGCGGGTTTTTAATGAACAGTCCGATCGCGGACAATGGTCAGATTAGATTCGTACAATCGTCTTGACCATTTAATGATTAACGAAACGACCGATTTACTCTCGTTCTCCCTTTCTGTTGCCGTCCCGTTAGGCTTTTGCCGGCTTCGTCTGTTCCGCGGTTGCATCAGCCGCTTCCATCGAGCCGGTTCCTTTGGTAAGTGATCGACATTAAAAAAAAGCATAGGGAGATCTCATGAGCATGGGTGAGCGCGAGATTGCTTGCATGGCCGAGTAGCATCTGAACACACATCCCGGGTGATAACATCCAGGGAATAGAGGATCTGCTGGTCGGAGATGCATGATGGGGGGTTGCTGTTGTTTCATGCATATTATCATAGATACTAGGATATAATGACACGGTCTGGTACCGTTGTCATGTGTATTGATATTGTGAGTTACATTGTAGACGACTGCTACATAACATAGACCGTTGCATGAATTGGTGTATTTTGTGCCGGTCGCATAGTGTTTAGGCATGGAGTCTAGTACCTTGGTCTTGCCATCGACCTATGATATGCGCGTGCCCAAGAGAGTAAATTTTCGTCAATATCACAGCACAAGTCAATATTGTTGTTATATACTTTCTAACGCAATCATAATCCTTTCATCTCCTTGCTGCCTGCAGATCGTGTCTTCAGCACGTGACGTCCCCGCACCCTGCAGGTTGGATCTTATCTTGATAGTCTCTCTGTTACCTCAACAACTTATCTTTACCTTCTCCTCTCATCTCAATTAGCACTATATCGGACCTGGACAGATTAGGACGACCCACACCCTTACAATGGATCTCGATATTGGCCTCGAAGGGACTATTGTGGCAGTGACCGGAGCAGGAGGTCAAATCGGCCAAGTCATCGTTGAAGCGTTCTTGAGCGCTGGCTGCTTCGTCGGCGCGCTCGACATCGATCATAGGAAGTTCCAAAGGCAGCACAAGAATCTCCTGTGGCTGCAGTGCGATACAACAGACGAGAGGTCAGTTTTTGACGCCTGGACAGCAATCTGTTCACAATTCGGAAATTGGCCCACGGTGTGTGTCTGCGCCGCCGCTCTTGATCTAAGTTTCGTTAAACATCATGCATCAATCACGGAAATGTCTGCTGAGCAGTTCAGAAAGACCCTTGATGTTGTAAGCTCATCAGTGCTATTTGGAAATGTGGTAGGTGGCTGACAATTGGTTCGTAGAACGTGACTGGCACGTTTATCACTGCGAAAACCTGGCTTAGCCAAATTCCGCGTACCGATGGTTCGAGCCTCTTGAAAACGGACAGCGTGAAGAACTTGTCGCTTGTCATTATCGGTTCGGAGGCCGGTATCATGGGCGTGCCAGGCAATCCGGACTACGCCGCCAGCAAGTCAGCCGTCCAATATGGGCTTATGTTATCTCTAGCCCCCGACGCCGTGAGAATCAACCCTAAAGCGAGAGTGAATGCGATTTGCCCGGGCGCTGCCAATACGCCCATGTTTCGCAAAGAATGTGCGGAAGATGAGACAGGGTCTACGAAGTGGGTTGAGTCGGAGGCGACTGTGGCTTCGAAGAGACCCGTAGATGGTGAAGATGTTGCCAGACAGTGTCTGATACTTGCAAGTCACAGATGGTCAGCATCTACAAACGGCCAAATGATCCGGTTGGATGGAGGGAAAAGTGGACGCATGTTCTGGAAAAAAAACGGAGAAGGTGTCTGGGTCTGAATGCTATGTGGTGACTAGAGTGAACGTTGCTGCGGTCTTCTGCAAGCCACATACGACATGCAACGTTCTCTAGCGATGGAAGTGACAACCATGCAGGAGGCCTACCACTGAAGGAGGGACTCAAACTGTGCCCTATATGCTTTGAATGTTCATAAACCTAGTCGAATGTGAGAATGAAATTGAAAATTAGCAATTCAGTCGTTGGGGAATGCACCTCTTAGTTTCACCTGCACCAATGAAGCATCTAGTTTTAGAACCAAAGTTTAGAAATACATCACCAAAACCTACAGCGTGACCACTGACAATAAACGAATGCTTTTACCGGAAAACGAAGTGGATGGCCACATGTAGGTTTGGAAAGATAAATACCCAAATCGCCCCGGTCCCATCGAGTCTTGGTTCCAAATCATTCAAACCCTCCGAGAAGTCGAAAAGCGCAATTGCAGCACCAAGAATCATGGGCTATGACTTTGCATTCGATATTTATCCCCAACTTGAAGCCACCGAACGCAACATAGAGAAGTACGAACGCTTCAGAAACGCTATAATCCGAAAGTACGAGAAGGCATTCGACCCTGGCAGCCGCCGTCCGGACGGTAAGGTCTTGGATATATTGAAAGAGTCGGGTTCAGACTTTGGTACCAATTACAACATTAGCTTCCTGGTCAGGGAAATACCTCACATGCCGTACGCCGCACAACGGTGCAACTATTTTCTTCGATTCAGCTCCAAGGTCAGCGGGCGGCTTACAACTCCAGCTGAGCCTTACATTCGCCAGGTTTTTGAAATCGGGAAGAAGTACTTTGGGGACAGAGTTCGCTTTTGGCATGACCTCGACGAGGACATCTCAAAGGAGGATTGCTACGGGTACTACGAGTGGCAAGAGGTCAACGATGCAGAGGAAGAGTTGCGAAGGTTGAGCACTCGCTAATCGTCATGGCGACAAGGTTGAAGTTACGTAGCAATAATTCAGCTGCTTTCTTTGAGAACATTGACACCTACTCGCATACTTGCCGGAGTGCAGTGCCGAAGCTAAAACAGCATCGGCCCCACGCCCCGCATCCCATACCCCATACCCCACGGATCCCGTCCCGTCCCGGGGCTTCCGGCTGCCGCTCGTGGGGGAGTGGGCAAGTTGCGGAAGATCGACCGTGCATGGCGTCTTACTTGACAGAGGAACCGGCACTATAAACCTAGCTTACCTTCGAAGTCAATTAAAATCGAGTATTATCACCATCTTGCAAGCCAATTAGTCGGCGTTGAAGTCATTATTCCACACTCAACATAATCTAACACCAAACTTCGAAAATGGCAAACCCCAGCTCGACCAGCAAGCAAAATAGCTTGATCAAAATGACCATCGCAGGCCGCAAGATCCCAGGCTGGGAAGATTCCAAGTTTCTGGAGGAATACGTGGGCGTACACGCGGCGATGACGACCCAAATCGCGGCCGCCGTCCCCATTCTTCGGAAGTACACTCAGGTGATCGCCATTCCGCACGAGCCTATCGACAAGCTGCCCAATGGCGGTCAGCCTCCTTGGGACATGGCTTCCACACTGGAATGGACATCTCTCGATGACCTGTACCAGTCTTTCCAAGCCCCGGAGTATAAGGCATCCGCAGGCAGTCACAAATTCGCCGATGAGGCATCCCAGGTTGGAGTTCTCAGCAAAGCTGTCGAAGAGATCACGTTCGATCCGGTTGGGTTTGAGAAGCGAGGAAGCACGGCTACAATCTTGCAGTTCTTCCTCGCTAGGAATGGCGTTCAAGCGCTGAGTGAAGAAAGCTTGGCAAGCCGCGTTGCGAAGATCAAGAAGATTGGGGCTGGAAGCGGCTTGTTGAAATACGTGGCTAATCGTCCCGTAACGCCTTCCGACATCGTCACGTTCTTCAAAGGCACCCCCTTTGCCGAAACAGATTGGTCATCTACTGAGCTGATGGAGCAGTATTGGTTCCCAACCCGCGAAGCGGCCGTCGCCTTTGTCAATGACGAAAGCAAACACAGCACGCTGTTTTCCGATCTTCCTGTCTCTTTGGCGGCGGAGAAGTCGTTCGGAATCGTTGGAAAAGAAAACCGCGTGGTTGAGAAAGGAGAAAGTGACTAAAGGGTGGCGCCTTCTACGGCTTTTTCGAGCGGACAGATTCAGCTTAGCATCTCGTGTAGTCGGTGTAGTTTACATCGCGTCTTCAAAACGACGCCTATGTTCCCCGTCTATTGTTCTTGTACTGTGCCCGTACCACCATACCTATAGTAATGCTCAAAGACCACCCTGTCTGCGATGATAAAATTCGTTGGCTTTCTTGGACCAGTCGCCTCGAGGCACCTTGCTCGATCAGAGATCCAACACCCCCCATATATGGCCTCATACCTCGATCTCCTGACGTCCATTTCACGAGCATCTCTTCTTCGATCTCTTTGTCGAGTCTGAGAGTTACAAACCTCGGAGTCTCATCTGATGCGGAGCTAGACTGCAGTAGAGATTGGGACGACAAGTCGGGCTTGTTATGCTTGCCTAGAGCTGTGAACATCCACAGCGCAAGTGTTCCGGTCAGAAGAGCCATGGGCTCATGATGGCTGTTGGTCGGATGATTTCGGAGCCAGCCAAGTAGCTTGGCGGCATGATACACGACAATTCTGGCTTTACCCTCATTCTCTTCTAACCAGATAGATAACTTGCGGTCCACTGTTTGCCTTATGGTCGGGCTTATTCGCCACCCAGAGAATGAATTGAGCTGCCTCAGGGGAAAATGTGATAAGAGGCTGAGAGCATGGTAGTGTTGGTTTATAAGTGATTTGAAGGTATCAGAAGATGACCCGATGCCTTCAGGCGACCGAAGAATATCTAGATATTGGATTGCGGCTTGTTGGTTGGGTGCATCGCGGTATATACCGAGGGTGAGAAGTAATAGGTTGAGATTCGTGATCCCTACCGGTGTCTCTTTCTGTTGGTAAAGAATGTCCAGTTCATGTCGAAGTGACCTGGGTTTCTTGGATGCTGTCCGTGTATAAATCAGCAATAAGAATGCGAATGGATAGGTCGCTTTTGGACGCGGCCTTACCATATTCTGAGTAGAGTATAGACCACTGGTCAGTTGTGGTGGCTGTCCATAGCTCATCATGTGACGGCATGGGTAGCTGCAACATGTCTAATGGTATTGTTTGGGCGACATCGAAAAAGGAGACAAGTTGACAATCCAAAACCTGATTCAGTCGGTGAGTTCGGTAAGCCCCGGTGCTTTATGAAAAGATTGGCTAATGTGCTTACCCATGCAAGATGAACAAGGCGCTTTCTACTCTCTGCTTGAATCCACCATTTCCAGCTTTCCCCACCCCCAGATGTAACGGGATTTGGATGATGCTCGACGAAATAATTGGCTCTCTTGCAAAGGGTCGGTACGAGAGACATGTTCCTTTGCGCATGCTCCGCAAAAGACATGTTGCCAGAGAACATCAAGCCGACTTGACTGAGTAATGCAGATTGAGCAATATGAAGCTCCAAATCTGGGGTTGGGTTTGATTCAAGCTCAATCTGAACGGTTTCACCTATCAATACAGTCCTTGACAGAGATAGACCCGGTAACTCAAAAAGACAACGCGACTTACACATAGGCTGACCGACCGGCGGAGAAATTCTTGCAAGATAAATGTTGTACAGGTGTTTCCCAGTTGCGAGAAACCGCACCCTATAGCGGCAACTGCAAGAATGAGAACCCAATGAACATCTGTGGTATCAAAGGTTGGCTGGTGAATCATTGGAAAGACGTGGCTGTAGTGTTCGAAGTACGATTGGATGAATGAGTTCATGGTTGTTATCGGTGGTAGCTGCTTGTCTGTGAACTTCCTGCAAAGTCCACTATCTGTGTTGAGCATCTCAAAATTACGGTTAATTGTTTCGTAGACTCTTTCAGGCAGTGTGGGAACATGGTCGTAATCTTCGAGGTGCCAATCCTCTTCCGGTCTACTGGCTTTGTGTGCGGACAGACCTGTTATTCGAGAAAGATTTTCTAATCCGGTTGTTACGAAGTCATTTGTTTTGGGCTGTTGGCCATGTGTGCTGCTGTTTGGATTGGAATAGTCCCGTGCCAAAGCAGACGGACTACCAAGAACTTCCGCAAATGTGGCAGACAGCTCGGTGTGGTTGGTGTAATTGGGTCTTTGGGCTTCCCGAATTGGCGTTGGCTCGGAAGGGGTTTGACTGGTACCTTGGTTCTCACGTACAGTCTGTACGTCGGCGGGCGATTGTTCCGACGCAGTAGTAGATACTTCCGGTATTGAGGGAAGCTCGGCACCGTCGCCTGTTGAATATGATAGACTAGGACAGGCAAAGTCATCCAGCAGAACATGGTCAGCTGCCATGCTCTGCCATGGCTCAACTCCTATCCAAGCGTGGGCGTCTGAGAATGGGAAACACCATCTTGTGGGTGACCACGTTGGAATGTCCAACCTATCGAGTGCCATGGCCTCTGGCCAATCAGGGCGTAGCTGCGTATTGATTGATTGTACTGGCTGGCTAATAGTTTCGATTCTTGGAGCTAACAGAGGTGATGCCTGTGACGATGAATGAGTGTTACTCCACGCGGTATTTTTAGCGTCACGGTACGCACCTCATGAGCCTCGATTTGATTGCATGGCGGAACGGAAGATTGCCCAAAGGTTGTCAAGTCATCGTTATCATGCGGTAGATCGGTACCCTGGACTGTTGTTCCACTTGAGAAGCTAGCACTTCGTCGGCTTTCACCTGCGTAAACGCAAGCACGGCCCTTGTTTTGACATCTCTCACATGGCAACAGCCCGTCGCATCTTTGTTTTGATCGCGCACAATCACGACAAGCTCTGGACACACATATCCTTCGGGATCTTCCAGGAGCAACACTACCGGACCTTGATGAGGGAGAATCTACATGACTCTGTGTATGGCGTTGGAGAGAGTCTCTGAGAGAAGAGCATCATCAGCCTTGAACCCCTGAGCAAGTTGAGTTGGGGACAGGGGTAGCAGGAAAGAGGGAGACGGGCATCAGGCTTCTACGCAAAAAGCCTCAACATAGGAAAGCGAGACCAACCTTCGCGAAAAGCTCGCCCCGCAGACTGAACAAGAGAATGGGCGAACTCCGAGGTGTCGGAGAAGGTGACGGTTCAGGTGTTCTGACCGACGGAACTCGGCGTTGCAGACATCGCACTTGACCAACATCCTCGCTCATCCCCACAGTCGGACTTGTGGGATTTGGCCTTGGATGAACTAAAGACGCACCAAAACCGTTGGTGTCGGCAGCAATCGTTATCATGTCCAAAGGATGTGAATCGGAGAGGGAGGATGGCCGTCGGAGGTTGTGGGGTAATATGGGCAGGTCAGAGTTTAAAAGGAGACGGCTTCGGAACGTGCGGGGGATCTTCAGTTATAGAACCCCACTCTCGGGACAAGGTTCGCGTCGGAGTTGTGGGGTTGCTAGAGGAGCCTGCAACCAACGCGGCCCGTCTTCCTAGTGTAAGACCAGCCCGGTCTAAGCTTAATGCCCGATGCCGTTGTCGAAAGTGCCACTGACAGTATGCATTTACGAGTCGGACTTGCTGAACACGTTGACCTCCACTGGTTACATCAATTGCGGGGGATAGTGGGGCTTTCATAGAGATCCGTCGTGATGCGAGGCCTTCGTTGAGTAACTAGCTGCCGGAGAATCGGGCTCTAGAAGTGCGGCAAGCAGATCTCCATGAAGTTCACCGAAAGTCTCCAAAAGTAAAGGCCACGGAGGCAATGTACTCATATAAGTGGCATTGTGTAAGCCTTTGTCGTTCAAGTGCCTTCTACAATCTCGTATCCGTCTTTCTCTGTTATCAGCACATCAGCGAACTTCAACTTTCTACGCCATCCTGTCTTTTTAGGTCTGACATCACTTCAAAATGACTGCAGATTTCTCGAAACTAGGAAGGCTTACCCTTGAGCCCGAATCCAAGGACTGGGACATCATTGTCGTCGGCTCTGGGCACAATGGCCTTACCACTGCTGCATACCTGGCAGCTGCCGGAAAGAAGGTCCTCGTGCTCGAGCGAGCACCCTACGCCGGTGGCGGTGTCGCCGGCCTCCAAATGGCAGAGGGAGGCTTCATCAGCGAGCGTCACAGCGCCATTCATCAGATGATTCTCGCCAACCCTCTCATCGCCAACGACGAACTCGGTCTCCAGGCTAAGTATGGCCTCAAGTACCTTCAACTTGACCCCTGCTACGCCATCGTCATGGAAGACAAAGTTCTTCCCATCTATCACGAGCGCCAGCGTACCGTTGAGGCCATTCGAGAGGTTGCCTCCGAAGATGCGGACGCGTATGAGAAATTCGTCGGCACGTCCCGAAAGATCACTGATCTGCTGATGCCATACATGTTCGAGCCGCCCCGCGACACGTCGGCTGATATTGCTAGCAGTGGTTTTTCGGAGGAGATTGCCACTGTCGGGGCTAGCTCGTCTTTGGATATCATTCAGCGGTACTTCAAGAAAGAAATTCTCCAAGTCGCACTCTTGCGCTTTGTGACCGAAATCCAGCTGGCTCACCCCACGACCAAGGGTACTGGTCTCATGGTGTACCTTGCATTTGGCCTTGTCGACAGATACGGACTTGCTGTACCTGAAGGTTCTGGAACAGCTTTCACCGAGTCGGTCACTCGATGCATCAAGGATCACGGAGGAGACATCAAGTTGGATACCGAAGTCATCAAAGTCGTCACCGAGAACGGGCGTGCGGTTGGGGTCCGAACCCGCTTTGGAGAGTTGCGGGCGAGAGAAGCTGTCATCGGCCAGATTCATCCCCACAAGTTAGATCAACTCGTCGACAGCTTGGACGAGTCTGTGACGGCGTCCGCCTTGAAGACACGTGTCTCTGAGTTCACTCTGTTCATCATCCACGCAGCTCTTGAACGTCCGCTGAAGTTCAAAGCCGGCCCACTCGCCGACAGAAGTGTCATGAACACCTGCTGCCCAGGCACTCTCAAGGACTTGCTCAAGAGCTACGACGACATGGCTCTCGGCCTTCTCCCAGAGAAGATCATGATTAGTGCTTCATGTGTGAGCTCGGCCGACCCCTGCTTTGGCTCAGTATAGAGTGCCAGGTGTGAAAGGATTGTATCTCGCTGGACCGTTCATGCATCCCGGCGGTGGTGTTTGGGGCGGAGGCCGCCCAGTGGCGAAGAGGGTCCTGGAGGATCTCGGCTTGGACTTCGACAAGACTTTCGTTGCGAAGTCGAGCGCTCACCTTTGATTGAGGCTTGGTTTTACCTTAGTTGTGAATCCAGTAGATACATCAATTATTTTCCAGGTTACGAACAGGTTGGTTCAAGTTCCGAGGGTTTTCCACTATAAATAATTTGACTTTATGCTGTGTGTCTTTTTAAAATATCGCCAGGCCACGCACTGCGTCAACAGGTCTTATTGTGTCTGTTTCATTGATTAAACAACTTGCATTGAGTCACAAAATAGCTAGGATGGCCAAAGAATAAACCAAAAAACCCTGCCACTCTTACTCTTGATTATGCCCTTAACCTCAATTTCCTGGGACAATAAAACATCTAGCTAGTATTGATCACCCGGTTTTAGACTTCTCATTTACCACGGCAAAGAAATCCACCGTTGGATCCATCCTGCCCTTCACCAGCTCCATCAATGCCTCTTCATATCTCGGACAGACATTGACAAAGAATTGACCCGCCCGAAGCGTTTCCACAATTTTCTTGCCGACGACGTCGACGTTCTTTCCCTGCTGTTTCAGGAAGGATATGAAGCTTTGATGGAACTCATCGGAGGAAGTGCCAGACAAGGAGTCTACTGTCTCTGTGTATGTGATATCCGGGAAAACAACGCTCACACCAATACCCAATGGCTTCAGAGAAACGGCCATGCATTGACTCATTGAAATATCGGCTGCCTTGCACAAGCAGTAGGAAAAGAGGTTGCTTGCCACGGGTGGTATGGGCACGTTCCCATTAGGAGAGGCGGTGTTGACGATCCATCCAGTTCCGTGAGCAGTCATGCCTGGGAGAAAGGCTCGAACTAGGCGGATGTATCCGAAGACGTTGACATTGACCTGCAGCTGGAGGCTGGTCATGTCGAGGTCAACGATGCCCCCGGATCGGATCAAGACAGCATTGTTGTAAATGATGTCGGGAATACCAATGTCTTTGTGAACAGCAGCTGCAAAGGCTGCGACGCTCTCATCGCTTCCTACATCGCATTGACACGCCCAAGCTTTCAGTCCAGCTTGCCTCAGCGCTTCGACTGTGGCTAGCTGAGGCTCTTGTTGGATATCTGCCAAGACGACTTTGGCGCCGGCTTTTGCGAACTCAACAGCAACAGCTCGGCCGAGTCCATGGGCGGCCCCTGTGACGATTATAATTTTGCCTTGGTAGTCCATGTTGTGGGACTTCTTGTGAAATATTGAGGGGAGACTTGAGGAATATTCAAGGCTTCAGAATCGACTGTGTATGTTTCCCTTGCCAGTTTGCGAATGAATTCTACTCCTCATAGATATTCTCTTTCCCTTCAAATACAGTTTCCTCAGACCACGCTATGTGCTGGGCTGTTCTCTGCCAAGATCTCACATCAACGTCTTCGGATGCGGGGCCGGCGATCGACAGTAGCATTCCGATGGTGGGGTTCGGAGCTGGCCCCGTTTTAGACCGGGGTATCGGAGATCGTGGGGTAGCTGACAGGCCGCGACGGCGGCCATGCCCGCAATGACCACAAGCTACGGCAGTGCTCACGAGCAAAGGCAGCTCCATATCACGGGCGTACTAAAGTCTGTTGACCGAATTTTGGTGTTCCTACTGCTTTTTACATCATCGATTACAATCTGAGATGCATTACAATGTGCCTTTGCTGCAGTGCAACAACCAAAGCAATCTATCGAGATGCGTGGCCAGACCAAGTCACCAGGTAGTACAACAACGGGAAAATCAGACCCCCGAAGCATTCAGAGATGTTCCAAGTCAATATGATTTCGAGAAGGGCTCATACAAATCCAAATCAAGACGGAGAACAAATGGATTGTACAAAAATGGCTCTGGGAAAATGTGCCCATCCCACGGATACCTGCGCTGTACCGTGTTCGCACGTTTCATTACCTGGCAATCGTCAATACTGGTCCGTCGACTATTCTCAAGCTATCCCAATGAATTGCCAATTGACCCCTCTAAAGACGTTTTGGGCAAGCTGTGCGCCTATTCCGACTGAACGGCCATTTGCGGATTGAAGCTGGAACATCCAGGGACATGCTGCCCAACCAACCAGGATAGACCATAGCCGCAGGAACACAAAGTTGTGAAGAGTGAGCTGACCACGGGAAGCTGCAGAATCACACGGCGGGTCGCCGGAAGATGTCGGCCTCGTGTGGTTGGGGGAGGAGGCTGGGGAGAGCTCCGGGCAGGCTGGCTTCGCGTACCGAGTGGGAGTCGCCGGGCTCCGGCCCAACATTGACAGTCTCGATATTTGAGAATTGGAATGGGTTCCATGACGAAGAGTGTACCCATTACGCGCGCCTGGTGGATATGTTGGATTTGCAGTTTTCCCCCCAAATTTTCCTAGCTTACCCTAGCTGCAGTGAAATTGAACTTGGGCTCCCTGCACGACATCCCGAGGAGTGGACATCAGGGGTCTCACAGCGGCCCCGGTGCCCCCACTGATCATACGACGTCTCGGAACCGGTCCCTGAGGGGGCCGGGTGGACCGGTAACCGGTATCCGTTCCGCAGTCTACGATTGGGGACAATGCCTACAAAGAAGTAGAAGATTCAGTCTTTCAGGGAAGAATTTGGCATCATCATCTGCCGAAAAGGAATGAGTCCGCCGTTGAACTGTCGATTTCGCTGGAATTTGTATGCAGATCACCATGGTCTGGCCATCAAATCAAAACACGTGAAATAGTAATATTTACTGGATCCTCTCAATTACTCTAGAACATCTGCCTTCAAGATCAGGCAAATGTGCCCATTTTGTTATTTCCCGAAGCGCGCCAGAGGCGCCCTTAGGTGGCGTTGAAGGATTCAACAGCCACAGCACTATTTCCTGGCATCTCCATCCCAAGACTTTCAAGTCTCGAAACATTGGGCCGGCCCGGGTGAGGTCCCACTCACTCTTCTCGACTGATTCGGTGTGCCTAAATCGCGCGCACTAGGTTTATCCCGTCACCTAGGTGTGCTACCTATGAGGCTGATGTGGGGGCACAGGTCAAGAGTGGATTCTGCCAACACATCATGGCTACCTTACCCCAAAGTGCAGTTTGCCAGGTTGTCGATGCAGCTCGAGAAATGTCGGAAAGTTAAATTTCGTATATCCGGCACAGCACGGACCTTAACGAAGAGAACGACGGTGTCGGGAAACATTGAGGTTGAATTGGGCTTGCTGTTGACCTGCCACCGGCCAAGGCCAAGCCTTTACCACCCTCTCACCGAACCAAACAGTGGAATCATGAATCGCCGTCAATGAACATTGTGCCAAGTAGTTGACCAAAGTGGCGTGATTAAAGAACTTCTACAGCAAATTCAGGCTTAATAGGTCCAATATCGCTTGCAATGCGGGTCCGGTGTGCAAGTTTGGCGCCTGGTATTGCTTTTCCCATGGCGCAGCCGTCGGCCGACTTGCAGAGGGTGAAACATAGTCGCACGGCAGGGCTGTCGCCATTAATGGCTCACCTAAGGAGCCTGCCGGCATCTTAACTCGGCAAATGGGTTCTCACGGAATTCAACAACCAGTGATTGAAGGCAAGTTCCTGCTTGCGCCGTATTGGTATCGAGACCAAGGAAGCCTGGCCCATGATCATCACCAGGATAGGTCCATCCCACAGGGCCATTCCGTCCGATTTCAGCTCGCGATAGATGGGGCTACGAGCGGGAGATCTGCAATGGCCACTGTGTGCAATGCAGCACCCGTACACGTGTAATAAAAAAGCCTTCCCGAGGGCAACATTGATGATCTGATCCTGAAAACTAGCCCTGCAAGTAAGAGTGGATCTAGATCGGGCCAGGCGCGTGGAATCCGGGGTCGCGGCGGCGGCTGTGCCCCTTACCGCAGGAAGCTGTACCCTCGGATGTGTTCATCGTTTTCTATTATGGCTGGCATGGCTTTACAAATCCAACGAGGGGATAACTGGGATCAGGCAATGTCCTCTCTGTTCACCTAACACATCGACTGTCCAGATTGGACGACATCTGCCAAGGTGGCCAAGCTATGAATCGCCTCCCCTTGTGTCACTCCCTTCTCCACATGTCAGTCCACTTCTGGTGACTCGAGCTGCACCTCAGGCTCTCCCGCTTTAGCGCTGTTCTCTTTGCCTTCCTCGCCGGAGATTTTGCCCACGGCCTGCTCCTCCTTCTCTTCCGGCTTCACTGGCTTGACAGGCATCTCCACGCGCACGAGATCCACCTCCAAAGCAAGGCAACCCTCCCCGAGTTTCGACTTTAGCCCGTCCTGCTCGACGTCGAAGTACAGAGACCAGAAGCCGTCGTTCTCAACTACAAAGAAGCCCTCCCAACTGGCAAAGGTGAGCCGGTGGTCCTGCCTGGTGCAGTCGAAGGGACCGTTGTAGTTGTGTTGCGCGTACGGACGGGTCCCGAACTTGACTTCATACGTGTCCCTGTCCACGTAGATCCAATTCATGATCGGGGGCTTGTCACAGATGGTCGATACGAGGCCCGCATACTGGGCTTCGGGGTACGGCAAGAAGTACCCTGCAAATTGATGGCCGAACGCCGAGTCAGGGTCAGTTCCTGTGTCCACGAAGAGCTATGAAGATGTAAGCGAGTGAACCTCGGAAAACCGAAAGGATTGGGAGGGGAGATACCTTGTCTCCGGAGAGAACTACATGTTTCCCTTCGAGCTCCGGGGAGTACTTGGTGGATTTGCGGCACCGGATAAGCAAGTTGTTCTTGCGACTGCGATGTTCTTTTCTCCTAGCTGTCTGTTGCGTATGTCGGATGGCCTCCGCCATGCCGAATGCCGCCGAGAACGCGACAAAAAATGCTGTGACCATCGTGTGAAGTGCGAAATGTGCTTGTTGTCTCTGAGGTAGCGTTCGGCAAGAGGGGCGTTGCAGCTCGATGGACGTAGATTTATGCCAGTGTCTGACAAATTTGCCCGATGTGTCTGGCGCGCCTCTCCCGACACCTTACGTGCGAGCAGGCGGTTGAACAAGCATCATCCCCTGAGCATGGACCTGCTTTCTTTTGTTGGGAGCTGCGGTGAACATCCGTCGGGTAGGGCGAGGAGCTGAGTTTTCACTGCAGATATCTCCGCCGTGGCATAGCACAGTAACCGTACACAGAGTGCGCATCCTTGTCGAGGATCCCAGCAGCAGAGGTCCTCCCTTACGTCCGGATGAAGGGAAATTTGGGAGTCCACCAGCTTCAGCTACATATACTCGAAATGTCTCACAACACCAAGCTCGGAAAAGGATAAAGAGGAAGCCAGCTCCCGCCGAAGATGACTACCTTTTTCCTCAGCAGCACCAAAGTTCCTCAGTCTCATAGCAGATCAGCTTGGAGATACCAACGCCAGAGTCCTTCGCCCAAGAAACCACCAGACAAGCCCGTAGATACTCAACCATCAAAACCTCAACTTTGTCACACAGGCAAGCTGTGGCATAAACGATCTCACGATAACCTCGACTCCGCTTCAAACCATTCACGATCTTCCTCACGTTCACGACCGAACACCGCCAGAATGTCTTCCCCGTAAGTATCATCGCATCCCAGTTTTGCTTTCATGTCCAATTGATTCTTGCCCCCAGTACCAAGAACTCCAACCCCCCGACCAGCTCCACCACTGCCTCCTCCAACCTGTCCTCCTCTACCAACTCCGCGTCTAACAACCCCAGCTACTCCAGCAACACTACCGCTCCCAGCAACTCTCTCAGCACCAGCAACCCCAACAACTCCCTCAACACCACTAACACCAACAAGGAGAACTCTGGAAAGTCCCTCCCCATGCCTGGCCTGTCCGGCCCCGCCAACGGACCCATCGGTAAGTCTAAGTTCGTCAATATTAGGTGCCATATCTGACATCCCACAGGAAACCTCCTCAAGGGTCCCGTTGACGACAACGGCAAGCTCAAGGACGCCGGCCTCATGGTCGGTATCAAGCTTGACCTTGAAGCCGAGGTTCACCTCACAGCTCGGGTCCGAGGTGACATCCTTGTTGGGCTATACTAGGCTGTCTTGCGCAGAGGAGGCCAAGATCGATGGTCGGAGGATCAGGATCGAGGTCGTGTGCGAAATCCTCAAGATGAAGTGTGTCGACGAAGATGGGAGGTGTGTATCGGTTAGTATCGTGAGCTATACGTGGCATTTCTGGGTCGAAGGACGTGGCACTGGCAAATTGTTCATAAACACGATAGCTTGCGATTAATTGAGTCCGTATTTTTATAACCATTGGTGTCTTGTCGACTGTGTGCTGACCTGTCCCCATTTGTGTGATATACCTTGGGAGAGGAAAGAATTAAGACTAGTGTGCGTCTCCTCAGCATTTCTTTCAGTATAGCTTGACTGTGTCTTATACAGTTGTCAAATGATGAGCCTCGGATAATGAGCAAAGAAGAGACAGGAAACATTGAGCTCCTTACACTATATTGATTGACAATTTGGGACTGGGGTACTCAAACGTGCCCCACGCAAGTTCTGTAAAGCCAGACGGGTGCCACCAGAAAACAAACTATTTCCCACCAACCTAACACGATACGAAACACATCCCCAACTGTACCTGAGACATGAAAACTTCGTCGTCCGATCAAACCTCGAGTGTTCAGCGATTTACGTCCGTAGAGTTGTATCCTCCGGCTGCAATCTTGACCGGCTCTAGTGGGACCAACTTAGACTGCTTCCTCGTCTTTGCTCCTTGATCAGGAGGCACCACCTTCCCAAGGAAGGTTCGCTTCATCTGTTCTAGGCGTGACCAGTACTGCCGTGAGGACTCACTGGGACGCCGTTCCCAAGGTCCTAATATGATCATCTCAGCCTTCGTGATGCCACTCCACTTCATGAAATGCTCGGTAGGGGCATTAACTTCGTCTGGAGGTGCTTTCAGCTTGAATTGATCGATAAATCGATCAACGAGTAGCCAGCGAGAGATGCATGCTGACTTTGTTGAAGCCTCGACCGCAGACCAATACTTTTCGCGCCCTTGAAAAGAGATAGAGGCGCCTTGCCGTGTCAGGAATTTCGCGGATTCCAAAATTCCTGCTTGGCAGGCGGCAATCAGCGCGGAGCCGTCAGGGCATCCCTCAAAGTCGATTTGACTCCCCATCGAGAGAAGATTCTCCATGGTCTTGATGCTGCCTATGGCTGCCGCACGACAAAGTGGGCTCCACGCGTCTATGGGTTCCATATTTAGGAGCTTTCGGAAACTTTCGAAAGACATCCGACGACGATAGAGAGGAAACCCAGATGTCAGGCAAGCAATATCCGGAGATCCAGGAAAAATGGAAGTTGTTGACCAGGGCAGTGGCGTGAGCCTCATATTCTGAAAATCCCCGTTGAGTAGGAAAGCAGTCATGGAATTCCTCAGCATGCTCAAATGGAGTGCAGACCAGCCGGATCTGTCAGTTTGATAGGGGTCAACAGAACTTCGCGTAAATCTGAGAAATATAGACGGCAGTATGCTGTGTATTTGTGCTGTGTCTTGGTGAAAAAGTAGGTAATGCAAAACATTGAGCCCTCTCTGATCTGTCGATTTCAGACTAGCCCCGGGGCGCAGTAGATGAAGGATAATGTCGAGGTTTCGACTGGAACAAGCTCTCGAGAGCGGTCCTGCACCTTCATCGTCCCGACAATTCAGATTGCTGCCTGCCTGGATGAGCATTGAAACGATGACTGGCGCGGGCCCATTGGTGTTATGTCCCTTCATTGCCAGGAGAAGGGGCGTCCGGCTCATTGAGTCTCTAGCTTCTAGATCCGCACCAGCAGTGAGAAGAAGTCGAACTGCATTCGTATTGTTCGTTTGAATAGCTCCGTGTAGGGGCGTCATCCCCATCTGCATTCGGTTCACGGCCGTGGAAACGACTGTGGAACTTGGTACGCCGTACCGCTCCCTGTGGCTATATCAGCTCGCAAGTCACCACCGAGTATGGAATCACTGGCTCATAACATGATTCGTTTGTTCGCAGGTGCTTTAAAAGCAAATCTAACCCCTCGTTGTTTTGCGCGTTAACTGCGAGATTGACGAGGCCGTTGGGTTCGCTTAATATGCATCCACCATCCGCAAGATATTTATCCAACATTGCTTGCAAGATCGGATTCAGTGATGGTCTTGTAATCATATCCTGCATTGCCGATCTGTGATATCCAAAGTTAAAGTTAGCATTTGCGCCACTTTCCAAAAGCCACTTGACGATAGGCGATCTTCTAAGGCCAATGGCCATTGCTAAGGGGGTGCGGTTGAAGTTGCCTTGACACATATCTATGTCAACCGAAGGCTTTTCTTTCAACAGAGTTTGACAAGCAGATAGATTGTTTGCCCGAATCGACCCAGCAACCGCTTTCGTAAGAGCAGCGGATGACGCCTTCTCTGACGCGGAGGCTGCATCAGGCGAGGTGGCTGTGTGCATCTTCAAGCGATCGATAATGGCCTGATGGTTAAGTTGGTACGCTAAAAGCAATGGCGTCATTTCATTTGATCTCGGAGTGGTGTCACTGTTGAGTTCCAACAGCCTTTCAACTAAGCTCAAGTTGCCGGTCTCAACAGCGACATGTAGAGCCAGCCGGCCGTCGGTAGACCGAGCATTTATATTTGCGCCTCGCGAAACGAGGATTTGCAGAGCATCTTGGCATCACCAAAGAGCTGCAAAATGGACAGCAGTAAGTCCATGATCCGTCGTTGCTTCCAGGTTGATCGACGGTACTTTGTCAAGGAGGTCCATAAGAAAATCGGTTGCGCCCGTAGCAGCAAGATGAAGTGGTTTCACAGCGGCAAAGCTTTCTGAACCATGGCTATATCGACATCCAATTTCCCAATTCAATGTCTCATAGGAGTCTTTCGGTGAAATGAGTTTCGATAAGAAACCTGTCGCATTTCGGAAAGCTGCCATATGAAGTGGACTCCATCCGTCTTTGCATCGGATTGTGAGATCAGCTCCTCGCTCGAGGAGAACGCTTGCCAGGTCGAAATTCCGCTCTTCCAAATGATAAACCATTCCTGGTGATTGAAAGTGGGTTGTGGTTCGGAGGTTTGGATTTGCACCCGACGCTATCGTAATTTGGAGGATCTCACGCCTGTAATGCGTCCCATCTCGCGGATTGGAGATGTGAATGAGACCCAAACCTGAATTCGGGTTCGTTAGATTCAAAAAGGCCGGATCTGCGTGTTTCAAAAGACTTTGAAATCTGGAAACGCTTTCGTCGTTGATTGCTGGTAATGCGCAGACATGCTCAATTGCGGAGACATCACCAACCCGACGATTGACTTCAACGCCCCGCTGCAGCAACTGCTCCAATGCCTTATCATATTGAAGGCTTGCCGAGGGCTTCAGAAGTTGGCACGCTGAGGGTGATTCTTGGAATGTTGACCAGTCCTCTGTGCTTTCGATTAACAGGCAAACTGTGGAGTCGGCCAAGGGAAAGTTGGTTGTGCTCGAATTCTCTACAAAGGCTGAGAATACTGAAGATAGAGATAGAAGACCAGATTGTGACTTGACTTTCTCGTAATGCCTCAAGACACCGGTGTGTACAAGGCTGGTGAATATCTGGTCGGCAGCTTGATATTCTTCTCTCGATGCATGGAGCGAAAAGCCTTTGGTGTAATGGTTCCAAATTCTTGACGCCTGCATATCCTGGGAATCAAGAAGAAAAGGCTGAATCAAAAAAACTAGTATTTCCGAGGACGGAGGATCGAAGTCCGTGGCCTCAAGGTAATACTCCCATGGCATCTTCCCATCGCTATGAAGCTCGCGAGAACCGGGCAAAAGCTGCTCAAAACGGGCAGCCAAAGCAAAATTTGTTTGAGCCCCTAACCGATGTAGAGGGGTTTCGCACAAGTAATCGGCAGGTGAAGGCTGGAAGCCCAGGCCCAGGAGCCGATCCAATATTTGCTCAGTACCTGATTTGGCGATCAGTAAGAGAATTGGAATTGGTGAATCCCAGGCCCCGCATCCAAATGCCTCTTCTTCTGACAGTATCTGGGCCAATTTTGTTTCCTGTTGCGCTAAGGCCAGCGAAAATGGCGTGTGCCCTTTGTTATTGCGCGCGCAGAGGCTGCAGCCATTATGCAACAAGACATCTAGCATTGCTTCGATTGCACTTTCCCAATCCATCAAATCACCTTCTTCTATCCAAGTTTCATGATCACCGAGCACCAGATTATGCAACAGCGTGTCCCCAGCGCTGCGATCTATGATAGATGACAGGTCCACGCGTGTATCGCCGGCTGCCGTCCGAAGTGAACTGACGCTGATCTCATGGCAAGCCTATAGTGCCAGCTTTTCGAGGCTTAATCGATCCTCAGATATGCGAGGATCAATATCGTATGTTTTGATATTTTCTTTGTCAGCTGCTAGCAGCAGAGAGAATCTCCAGAGTATTCGGCATAGCTCCAAATGCAAGGGTGACGTGTCGATTATGCCGCTCAGAGACTCGCAAAAAAGACAGAGTGAACGCATTGTTCTGGAGCTTGAATACCCACCTACGACATCAAGTAGCATTTGCAGTTGTTCGGAAATACAATCTAAATCGCTTTGGGCTCGCGCGGTTCCTTCGGTGACTAGAAGCTCAACAACGGAGAAGTCGAATGTCCATGTCCAGCAGCTCGCTGCCAGGCCAACTAAACTTGGGGTCCCGCCGAGTTTTTGAACGAATATGCGTATGGTATGGAGCGTGTAATGGGTTTCGGACGCGTCTGTTCCCATCCAGCGTTGGACGCGGTTCGGAATTTCTGGGGCTTCGTCGCGGAAAAGCTTCAGAGACCCGTATAGACAATCCACGGAACATTCAAAGGCTCTCTCAATAAGTGCCTCTTGACTCTGACACTCGATTTTGGCGAGTAGAAAGGAGCTGATCTCCGGCAAAGAGAGCGATGCGGCAAAAAGCAACGGGTGGAAGTCGTTGTCGACAATTTCCGCTATCAAGTCCACCTTCTCATCATTTTCGAGCTCCTCATCATTTTCGAGCTTCCTAGCCCAACTTGTCATTTCCAGAACTAAAACCACAACCCAATACGTGAAGCATGGCGTTTTACGTGGGTCGAAGAGACACTTTGCACTTGCTAGCATAGCAGGGTCTTCCCACTCCTCTCTTGAGTAGTACATCCAGTTCGTTGCCGCATAGCTGTATAATGGATGATTCTGAGTTGTTTTCTCAATGTCCGATAGGTGCTCATCTGTCGGGGTTGGAAGACGATTGAAATTCTCCAGCTGGAGATACTCTAGACATCGTGTTGCCAAGAGTCTGTTGCATTTAGACCTTGAAATGGTAAACATCGGGAACTCCGACGACTTCAAGACGTCGCTCGTCAAGAACTCTTGAACCGAAAAGTGGGCAAACTCCAAATATTTCCCATCGTTGGACCTTCGAATCAGACTACTGCAGTGCCGAGTAATTGCATCTTCCCGAATCAAGCCGGATGCCTTCAACAACGATCCATTTGATGGCACTGAGAGGACTTCCCGACACTGTGCAATACTGAGCTCTGGATCAGCGTAGGCAATTAGGTTCAGCGTTATCTGAACATATGACCGCTGTGCGTCGGGGACTCTCTTTAATATGCGCATGTACGTCTCGGGGAGGTCGGGTGGCAGACTGCGTAGAGCCTCTCGGCACTGCTCATCTGACATGCAGTACCCAAGATTGTCGAGTTGGCACGCAACCCAACGAAACCTGTTCAAATGCCAAGTAAGCGAAGAGCCATTAAATTGGCGTCCTTCGGAGTTTTTAAGAACGTACATTCCGTTTGCTCCCTCTACTAAGCCATCCACAATTTCGCCCTCCAGGGAAAGGTCTTCGAAGTGTAGTCGCTTGGTCCTAATCCGCTGCTGAATCTCTGAAGTGACATACTCGGTTATGTCTTCTTTATGAGCTGCTATTTGTACGTTGACGAAGTCGATTTCTGGGTCGGAAAGATGATCTCGAATGTTGTCTTCATTGCGACTCAAGACTGCCATTGAGATCTCATCGGAGCTTTCGGCAATCGCGCATAAAGCCCGGACAACCTCTCCTGTGGTATCTTGACATTCATCCAGACCATCAATGATCAAATATACCTGGTCGAAGAGTTGGGACATCGTTAGAATGACTTTCGTCAGGTCATCTGGGTCTGGGGAGCCTGATAAGCCTTTCTCGGGATGAAGCTCGCAGTAATATTCTTCCAGCATCACGTAGGCTTGTTCGTTCTGCTTCGCAAGCTGATGGGCTAAAGCCCCTAGAATGCCGACCAGCCTCTGTGTTGTTTCATTCTTGTAATCGCAGAAGAAGAAACCGATTGCTACCGTATTGGAGCTTCTTGCCAGAGCGTGTCCAATGATAGACCCCGCAAGAACCGTTTTGCCTGCACCTGGAATACCACTCAGCCACAGTCGTGACCCAGGACTCATAAGCCATGTCTGGAAGATTGTAGACGCTCGAGCCACATGCCAGTTCTCGGGTGTCGCAGCTTGATGCTCATGTCGTAGTTAGGCTGCCGGTTGTAAGGTAGAAAGAACCGGAGGACACGTTTCCGGTGAGAATCCTCTTGAATCCGTACCACGATCTCTCGGGTCTTTTTAACGTCGGCTTGAATATCAGCGGTCGTTCTTGCCCTATCGTCTTCTTTTGCCAAGCAACGTAAGAGGGCCTCCATGGAATTGGCCGTCAAGGCCAGGTTGACGTTTTCTTTGTGTCGGGAGAGTTCGGCAAGCAATTCTTTGGTTTTCGAGGACGTGTATGGCCACATAAGCCTCTGGAGCTTGCCTTTTGGGTTGGTGTCGTACTTTTTTGTCTTCTGGGAAATTTCGTTGAGGATGAAAGCGCATCCCTCGATGTGGTGCATTCGGAAGTCCTTGTTGAATGGCTCATCTCCCATCTCGTGACCACTCGCTGACCTCGATAGCATGTTGACGGCGCCTCCTAGCAGATTCACCTCTTTGCGAAGATCGTCGACCTCCTTCTCCGCATTCTTGACTGATTTAATATACTTTGTCAAGCGCAGAAAAACTACATCCGCGAGAGTGACCAGACCGGCGATGCTAGCCGAGATGCTCAGCGGGTCGGCCATGATGGCACAGGCTGGCGCAATGCAGCGCTGCAGAGAATGATGAACTATTTTCCTACAGTTGTTTAGCGAAAGTGAGATGGCGTAGAGGACAAGCTGGACTCACTTCTGCGACCATAAATGGCTCTGAGCGCAAGCATTCCGCTGGCTTTGTTCGGGGGTCTATACTTCACGCGCGCAACGCCGCGAGGTATTGAACAACCGTTATCCTCTGGCAGCTAAGGGGCTGCGCGTGGCCTGGGCTCATGGCAGATTTATTCAGGAGGCCAGGAGATGTTTCTTAGGTACCTCCCCCCTCCCATCCCCCTGTTCGCAGAGGACAGGAAAATACGACAGCCTTTGCAGGTTGGGTGCATATTGCAAGGCGGAGTGGTTGCGATTTTGTCCACATCCTCATTGGTGGCCTTCTCGTAAAATACGCCTCACTTTGTGTAGCTTGCAGGAAAGAGGGTGTAGATGCTGTCTCAGGGTGGGTGGGCTCTGGCGATTTTGCATCCATGTTGGCGGACACCACTGGCCCTAGCTGGCCCTTCTGTGCCACAGCGTTTTATGGCTCCACCATATGCACCAATTATCAGCAGCACTTGGTCGGGCAATCACCGTGGCTTGAACTTTGGACTGACGCTTCATGGACTTGAGCAGCAAGACCGCTCATCAAGTGAGGTTGATGGCCTGTAAATGGGATGGGACACTCACACGATCTACGGTGCCCAAGGAAGGCACCTAGTATAGATGGCTGTCAGCCCGCGATCCTTCCCAGCAAGACTCTTCCCACCTACATTGCTGGAAAGTCATGCAATCTTGAGAACACATTCGGCTTACGTGTCGGCGCAGCCCTCCGAAACACGACGAATGAAATTATACCTGCTCGAGGACCTAGGGGGTATTCGTGGCAACCGCACGCCTCAGCTTTTCCTGACTGCAGACAACGCTGTATGGTGGAGGAGCAGTGCGCCTGGTTTGCCTAGGCGCCAAATCTCACTGCATATGCATGAGGCACAGCCCTGAGGCTCATCTGAAGGCTACCTTACCTGTTGAAGCCTGAGACTTCTTGACTGCCTTTGCCGCAAGATGCTTGACCTTCTGGTTATCGGCGGTCTTGACTCTGCACACTATCCATCATTCTCTGCGAGCTCAGTCTGCCGATATGGCTGAAATCGTCGGCATCGTCTTAGGCCTCGCACCTCTGCTGGTCCAAATTAGCAGCGGGATCAATAAGCTTCACGACATCCGCCAGAATGTAAATGAAGTTCATAATGAGGTGGACTTTCTCTTAAGTGAGCTAAAATTCATGGTTTGTCTCATGCAGTCGGTCGATGATGCCACATATTGTGAAGAGCAGGCTCTCGCTCATTGCCAGCGAAGCTGCAGCCGAGTCCGCGAGAGTCTTGAAAGGCTGATAACAAGGATCATTGAACGCCCCAAAATGGGTGGAACATCGGTGTCGAAACTTTGGATCTTTCGGCATCTGAAGGAAGATCTTGTAGCGCCACAGAGGGAAATCGATTCAGCCAAGATAAATCTGAGTTTGTATGAGCCGTCTATTCACGCCCTCAGCTGCCAGATGATTGATGCCTGGCACAGATTGCTTCAATCAGTTCAAGTCAGACACCTATGCCTCGAAACCCCCTCTTCAGAATCCTCCACTCAGACAGCCGGACTCGCATTGACTAAAGAGTCTTCGGAGCTGTGTCCGGAGCCATCGAAATCCCGGGCCATCGATGTCGCGAAGACGCACCAAGTAATTAAGCGCCAAAAATTGAGATACCGCCAAGACTGCTTATCGAGATCTTGTTGCTGTCAATGTCACCGCTCCGAGAGGGCCTCCGGGCGCTTCTGGGCGCTCGACTACAGCCTCATGGGAATCTTTCAAACATGCAACGTGGAAGAATGTAATGCAGCGAAGTATGGCGTAAATCTTCGACTGGCTTTGACGCAACTTGGCATCCATCGATCCGTTGTCATAAAAATCCACTTTCTTAGTGGACCGGGATCGTTTTCACCTTCATTCGGTCTCCAGACTGAATACAGCGTCCCGTACACATCTCCAGGCTTTGAGGTCATTTGGAGATGCGAAAATGGAATGATCGAGTACGAAGATGCTCGGAACCGTCTGATCCACCTCCATCGCAGTGATCCAAATTTTCAGTACCAGATAAATCCTGCTGGGAGATCCTATGTCGAGGTAGTACTTCCTGTGCGCTTGATGAGTAACCACGTTTTGCTGAACCTTATAGGAGCTCTTGAGTTGTCCATGGGGAGGGTTTGCTACCCGGAAGCAGTTCGGGCTGCTTCAGCTGCTCATGGGTGACTTGGGGATGACACAAGGCAGCATGCATCCTCGGTAAGTAGACGTTGAAGTTCGTACATGGCGAAGCGGCTTGCGATGGAACAATCAAAATGGACTGCCAGGGGTTTGAGTCTGACAAAACGTTCTGTAGATTCCTCGCGCGATGCGCGAAATGGATTGGGGAAGGTCCGCACCTTGACCTTCTTGAGGCACTAATGCATCTAGACTTCGACGCTGGAGAAGTAGAGGCTCAGGAATGGCCAGAGCCTTGCTCATCAAATTGGAGATCCGAGAGTGTCACTCCTGATCCCTTCTTCGTTGAGTATATCAGCATCCTTTGCAAGGATAACCAAGGTGCGCCGAAGAACATTGTTCAACCGCCCGTTTACGATTAGCTGACTAGTATCAGGTTTTGCCGGCATGACGCCTCTTCACGAGGCTGTCTTATTTGGATCATCGCAGTCAGTGAAGACATGGGTCGAGCGGTCCAAAAGAGACGAGAAGAACTTTCTTGGCCAAACTCCGCTTCACCTCGCAGTCTACAAAGCTGAGTACCTAACGGCCCTACTAGAGTCAGGTCACGATGTAAATGCTGTCGACAACTATGGCATCACGCCCCTGATGTATGCAGCCGCGACAGACCAAGAAGACGCTCTCTTCATTCTTATCAATGCACATGCGAACCTAAAAGCAGTGGACAGTCGGTACCAACGTACCTTCTTTGGTTACGCCGTTGCCAGGCGGAATTGGGGTCTGATATACAATCTTCTCTTGGTCATCAAGAAATCTGCCAAGAAAGAAGTCGCGGAGTCTTGGGTACGAGCAACAACAGCAAACGCCCAAGTGGCTGTTCCGGACTTGGATTATGACAGCCCCGTCTCTCTCCGACACTTTCTGACTCTGTGTCAAGACGTGAATTTCACCTACGATAATGGAGAAGACAGAAGGAACAACTGCCTTCTCCACGACATTAAGAGCGTCTCTGACTTGGAAGCCTTGATTGACAATGGATTCACAATGATCAACCATGTCAAAAGCCTTGGTCAGCACGCTCTCATTAACGCTGTAAAGCATCATGACGTCGCAATGACTGCCAGGCTCTTGGAGCTCGGAGCAGACGTCAATCTCGAAGACAATCAACAACGCACAGCGGTTGGTCACGCGCTGAGAGGCTTGAGTACTAGCGACTTCAGTCGAATCTGTTCAACGATGGAAGTCGTGAGGGTCTTGCTTCGGGCCGGTGCGAATGTGCTTGTGAGAGATCGTTGCAAATGCCCTTGCTCGCCGACAGGCTGCCTCACTGCTACAACAAACAAGGGCTGTAGCGACCACCTTGGGTGGGGGCTTCACTTTCCAATATGGTCACTGGAGTGGCTCAATATGGTTCATGAACATCGAGGCGTCGAAATTGCACGAGAGGTTGCTTTATCGCTCATTCGAGAGGCGACGCATGAAGATCTGGAAATGACCCATGTCTGTTGCGAATTCCAACTCGACGAATGTCCCCTAGGATTCATCCTCAGTTCGAAGAAATCCGAAGATGACGTTGACGAAATCATAGACGAAGAACAAGAATTCACGGACATTTTGAACAGTGAATTGGCGCACAGGAATGAGGGATCATACGAAATACTTCTCAACCAATGGTTTACACTAATTGGGAACTTGGTTCGAAAAGCCACCCGGAGGGCGGCGGAGACCAAGAAACAAAAGCATTCGCGAAGGGTGAGCATGACGCGTACGCTTGGGATCAGTGACACCACGGCTAACTGTAATTACAGCAAGGTCCAGAAATTGATTACAAAAATGATTGCTTCACGTACACTACGGATACGGATATTTTTCTGAATCAAAACCCAGCACCGGGCGTTCAGACCTCTATTTGCGAGTACGTCTTGTGGATGGAGCACGAGTATCACCAGGGACAAATGTCCAAGCTGGAGAAATTCACTCGAGAAGCCTGGTATTCAAAACGGATTTCGTTGCTCCATACGCTGCTCAGTATCATTGAGATTCCGGTAGGGTCTCTCGTTGATCGATTGAGAAAGCTGCAACCACTATATGTTGATGGTCGTAAGGACCCCATCGATCCCGAGCCCTACATCAAACACTTGTTGGCCTCTGCGAACAATCGATGACATACGAGCGGCGAGAATTACTTGCGGGGTTGGATTACCGTGTTGCCTAAAGCAAGCTTAGGTTAAAGAAAGATTACTGGCTACATGTATGATAAACGGAAGCGACGGAAGCATTGCAGGACCTCTGCAGAAGTTCGCTGGTATCTAGAAGGCCTGTAAATAAAACATAATTTACCAATAGAGCGAGCGCCGGCGCCACCGTTGTGCCTGATGTCCGTACCCAAAGCCTCTCAACGAGTGCAAAGCCAGAACCCCGTCGCGACCGCTACAACTTCGAATTTCTCACCAAGAGTTCCCCGAAGACCTGTCCCGAAGAACTTGAACCTATAGGGCTCCGCCGAGCAACATGCCAGACACATGGAGATGACAGCCACAATCTCTCCTCTGCCGGTGGCTTGCGCCGGCCTCTGAGGACCCGTCCCCTGAGGCTTGAGAGGTGTCCCGTCACCAGTTCGGACCCCGGGCAGAGATGTCGGTCGGGGCAGCCAAACCAGCTGGTAGCCCCAGGTACATCCGACAGTGTCCTTGATCGTCTTGCCGCCCGTGAAGTTCCACCTGAACCGCTCCCAAGTAAGCTCGCCGTTGGTCACGATGGGTATCTCAAAGATCCACCGCTGTCGAGAGCTGACGAACATGCTGCCGCTGCTCATGGTCGTGGTGAACTGCTCCTGGTGAAGTTCCGGGCGAGCCTCGACTGTGACGATAATGGATCGCATGAAACTCATTCCGGGCGATTTGCCGACTGTCACCAAGGTGTCGTGGCCGTCGGTGGCACCATCGCGTATCGTGATTGTCCCTCTCTTCCCGCTAAATGTTCCAGCACGGTAGGCGGCATAGCTGTGTTTTTTGTCGGGCGAAAAGATCCGGAACTCGGGCCATGGCGAAATCGGGCCCCAGGTCCGCAGCGCGGGTGGCATTTTGACTGTATCGGAATCTGCAATTGCGCCGTTGGATGTCGAGCTGCCGGAGACTGATTCGGAGCGAGTGTTGTCGGGCGCGTATCGGGGCGGCTGTGATGACGGAAGCAGCTTGTCCGTTGGCTGACCCATTATCCACCTATAAGACGGAGGGCTCTCGTAGGACCCGCCACTGGACATGGACGCGATCGGAATAACCTCGCATTCGACCGGGTTGGTCCTCGGGACCAGAACAGGATCCCTCGGCGACATGCTGTTCAGGAACTAGGTCGTCGGGTGGCTCGAATTTCGCAGGAGTCGGACAGGCGGCCGGACAGGCAGCACACACATCAAAGGTATACCGTACATTGCAACTTCAGGAGACGATCGCACGAAGGCTGAAGACCACATCTAGATATAGGCCAGCTAGCCACGATGGCAGACGGCTCCTGTGAAGGAAGGCCCGGCATTGATCTGGCAAGCGTCGTTTGACATTTTGGCAGCCTCATAATGCGGAGACACGGCGAATCGCGTTATCATTGGGTCCTTTCCTCGTATGGAGGATTTCTGAGTGTGGCTTGCAATCCAGCCTTTATTCTTTTCGGAAACCTAATCCTGCGTACTCTATTCCTCGTGTAGGCTGCATAGAATTTTGCTATCTTTAACAGCCGCTCGGACGGTAAGCTGACCGAATTATTCATGCATCTAACGGTCGGTGCTGCTTTGGAGCAATGTTATTCGTTTACACGGCTTGAGAACGGTTGAAGGATCATTTGCCGGTCACCGCTTGCAATGCCGGACCGAAGTGTGGGTCAGTCACGGAGTCTTCGGAGAGGTGGGTCGTCAACGGAGCCCCACCCTGGCCGGAATGGCGGCCGAGACATTGAGTGCCGACGCTGGAAAAAGCCTTCTCCAAGACCCTTCGCCGTTGGGTCGCATCGCTGATGCCTGGAATGGAATCATCGATAGCCTGCAGGGGATATTGGCTTGGCGGCTTACCGATGCCACGACATGCGCCCCTGCCGTCGCCAGTTTCGAAGCCCGAAAATACCTCGAACAGACAGGGCTTGCTGCAGTGGGGGAATGGCCCTGCACATGGGAAATCCGCCTGGGGCTTACTCAGGACATCCCGGTTGACAGCTCGAACGGCTGGGGGATGGGGACCGAGACTTTATTCTTCGGCGATTCTGGAACTCCTAAGACGCAATTAAGTCGCCGTACCGCCCATATTTGCAGAGCAAAGACTCAAGGCGCTGACTCTGGACCCCAGATGCTCTCCCGCAGGCCGACGGAAAATCATCCAGGCACCTTTGCATCGTAGTCGGCTAAAAAGGACCAAATGAACAAACCGTCTGTTGGACCCTGGCTCGTCTCGGCGCATGCAGGACAGAACGAGGTGCCATGTTGGTTCTAGCGCCAGGCACAGAAGATGGTGCTAAAAGATGACCAACACACGCCACCCCCAAACGTTGCAATCTCTGATCTGTCGCGTTTACCTTGTTCGTCGGCGATGTCTTGCGATGGAGCTGCTCGCGATGTTCCAAGTGTCCCCATGGCTCCCTTTAAAGCTGAAGACCAAAAGATCGCGCGCACGTGTGAAACGACCCAGATTGGTTGAATCCACGAACTCCCAACGCCACCACTTCTAATCGTCGGCGCACGAGGTCAAAGCCTTTCATGAACGCCCCCTGACTGCAATTTCCTCTCCAAAAACAGCATGGGGGGTCGCAACCACTAAACGCCACGAAGCTGCCCGCTCCTCGAGAACATGGTGCAAACAGGCGGGCTGAATTGTCCGCGATCCCAATGCAACCCACGCCTGCAGGTCCTCTCGTAGGACGCCACGGTGCTAGGTGCCCACACACCACTGCGTCCGAGTTCCAGGCCCGAAATCGCCGTCAGACGGGAATGGAATGGAAGGGTGAAAGAACAATCGCGCAGCTTCATAATGGCGCCCTGCGCTGCCTCACGCGCCCATGGCCTCGCCGTTTTGACAGAGAAACTTCTCGTCATTCTGCCTCTTCGGGTTGTTTTGCCCCCCTTGCCTCCTGATCGGGCCTTCCAACGGCTGACGGTCGAGTCTCCATTTGGACCGTGTTTGCTTCACGTTGTACGGAATAGCATCATTGACGGACGTTGTGACCGTCAAAACCCGCTCGCTCGCCCCCGTTGAAGTGGGCTGAATCTGCCAATCCTGCGCAACATTGTGCGTTTCCGCGTTCGAGAACACAACTCTAATCATTCAACCGCTGGGACGAAGGAGCAAAAAGGACGACGATGATGATCAGGCCGCCATCTTGGGCCCTGTGGGCTACGACGCTGTCAGTCATGCTTGGCGCGTCCGCCGTCGCGGGCCAAAAATTGGAGGACGTCCTCGCGAAGCAGGCCAATCTCACAACTTTTCGCGATCTTGTCAAGGTGAGAAGAAAGCAAGAAAGCACAGCCAGCGGGCTCTCAGAGCCTGCTGCATCATAACTAGCCAGTGCGGGAGCGCTCTTTGATATATACAAAGGCTTGAGGGTCGCATAATGCGCATGCGCAGGCGACACTCAGATCCCCGAATCCACTCCACCACGATGTCTCAAGCCTCGAGAAGGACCAAAAACAGCTGGGTGACTGACTCGAGGCAACAGGGAAACAGCGAAATCTTCTCGAAGCTGCCCAAATCCGGCGTCACGGTACGTTATTTTGCATCCCAATCAGACCCCTTCAGCTGTCAAACCTGCACGAAGAGCTTTGGCGATGCACCTAGCGACAGCGGCATTACCCTCTCTCCCTTCGCCCTGTCACACTTAGACGAACCGATGGGGCCTTATCGTACAAGCCCTTCATGCAGCGCGAACAAAACATCCCTTTTTTTTTTTTTTAATTTCTCGGGACAGATCTTCTGACGAACGCCAGATCCTCGCGCCGAGCGACCAGGCGTACACCAAGGGCCAGGGCTGGGACTCCGACAAGGACGGCATCCCCGTCGCGCTCCAGTACGGCATCATCAACGCCAAAATCGCCTTCGACGCCTTGTTCCCGGGCAACTCGTCTATCGAATCCACCCTGCTCACGGACGCGCGGTACTCCAATGTCACGGGCGGGCAGAGTGTGCTGGTGACCAAAGGGCCCAATGGCGAGGTGGTCGTGACGTCGGGGGTGGCCCAGCGCACGACGGCCGTCGAGATGGACATCGAATTCGATGGCGGATATGTTCAGATTATCGACAGCTTGATGGTCCCGCCGGCTCGCATTGAAAAGACTGCGCGCGATGCGTATACTGATCTGACGTCGTTCCTGGGGGCGCTGTACGCGACCGACCTGGTGACTGAGTTCGCCGAGACGCAGAATGTCACCATCTTTGCGCCGCGGAATGCCGCCTTTCAGCAGATTGCTGGCACCGTGTCCGCGATGAGCAAGGAGGATCTCCGCCGGATGCTGCAATATCACATTGTGCCTTCAACAGTGTATGGCAAATCAGCCCTGGTGAGTGGAGCGAAACTTCAGACGGGGGTCAATGGGAGGAACCTCAGCGTAACGCTCTACAACAACGATATCTTCGTTGACTCGGCGCGCGTCATTCAGACGGATATCCTTATCGCCAACGGCGTCATCCAGATTCTTGACGCGGTGCTGAACGTCAACTCGAACAACACGTCGCCCAACGTGACCGCAGTAACACAAGCGCCCGTCTTCACCGCCACAGGCACCGCGGAAACAGGCACCGCGGCCCCGACGCCATTCGTCTCCGCCCTCCCGTGCACCACGGACTGTCCCGTCACGGGCAGCGCCAGGGGTGGGGCCGGAGGGACGGCGACTGGAGGAGTCAGTTCCAGCTCGAGCACCGGAGGTGTGGCCGCGGCTCGATGCACTGGTGGCCTTGCCGCTGCAGGCGTGGGGTTGGGGTTGGCTGTGGGTGTGTTGGGGATGGAGGCCATGGGTGTCGTCGTCTGAGGCGGACGGGGTAACATCGGGGGCAGGGAAGAAAGATGTAATGTCGAGATGGTTCATGGGATAGTTCGGGCGAGAGGCTCAAGTCGACTATGCTGCTCACATGGCTGGTGGTGGTGCTGCTGCTGGCAGATGCAAAAAGGAGGGGGGGGGCGAGGGCGGACTGTG